TTGTTGTTGTTGTTGTTAAATTCCTTTAATAGTGCTTGCACTGTTAAAGGTAACATGGGATACAAAGAACAAAGCATGATATGAGTAATGGCAGTGTCACACTGTTATAACTTTATAATGTTATAATATCTAAACTATAAGGGAGTTTATTGGTGGTAAGAACAACATCAAAATTAATTTTGTGAGATTCCATGGAGGGAATCGGCAGCAACACTACTGGGAAAACCATCTTCTGCACATACACAGAATCAATTATGTAAAGAATTATAAGCATGATACTATTGGACTCTTAGAGAGGAGAGTCCATCAAAAGCATAAATTCCATCAGATGAGAGGGCAATTCTTGTACAGTTGAAAGACAACCTGCTTCCCAAAGCAACTCTGTCAGAATAGGTTTTTCACAGCATTTCACTGAGTTTAAACACAGTAGATTACTAAAAGCAACTGAAGCAAAAATTCCAGCAATATACATAATAGTAGTGTTTAAATTATTTTAAAATTCCCAAACTTTGCCAAGTCTAATTAAAGGCAATCTCCACACTATTTCCTACTTTACTATATTCCTATATTTTGTTAAAAATTATTGAAATTATGACAGCCACTAACTTTGTTAATGACAGTTACCATCACACATGTAGATTAGGAAGTTTCAGGTCAGCTCCTTAGAGTCCTGCTTAATGTCACCTGTCCCTTTCAGAAACCAATAGCAACACCCATCCCCTCCTGAAAAAAAGAGTAAGAAATTCTTAGGTAAAAAATAGATACTGTTTCCATAATAAAGATAAATTTCCATACATTTGCATATATTTTTATCTCTCTGGGTCGCTCTAACCACAGCTTCAGTGGCACAGAACACTGGAGCACACATTAAGATGTTTTCCAAGACCTTTCCAGAAACTCCTGCCTACTAGATCAGCCTTGTGCACAGGAAATAGAGTCATTTCATACTTCATTCTCACATGGTAAATGTAGAAATAAAAACCCTGATGAACAAATGCAGACACTGTGAATGACAAGCAATAGCTACAAACTGTGAAAGAAAAAAGTTAACATTGCTAGGCTAAGCAAGGAAGAGGAACTATTATCTTACACTCAAAGAGGGAAAAACTAAGATAGTGTAAAGATACGAGCACAGATAGCATTTTAGACATCTCCCTCCTTGCCTTCTCTTTCACTGCTAAACATCTTCTATTACCATTAAAAGAAACTGAGCTACCAGCTTTCTTCTGTTTGGAGAAAATATATGGCAAAAGACCCCATCTCTGCAGGCTCTCTTCACATAAAGACACTTTGATAGCTTCATTTTTTTAGAGCTGTTAACTACAATGTTCAACTTAATTTGCTATCCTGCTGAGGAGAGATTTGTGACCAGTAAATCTACCAGTTACTCTATCAGATAAATCTAGAAAGATCCTTTCCCAGCATCAAGAGAAAAGCAACGTGCTAAGAATAGGAAGAAACATGTTTCAGCTCCTTATGACTCCCCATGATAGAAGCTTAAGGCAGCCCCATGAGTAACAGAAGGTTGTGTATTGGTATGCAAGCAGGTGAATGATAATCCATTTAGGCAGATGTATTGTAGTCTTTATCTCCATTGACTGGAAGCTGGTGGTCAGCTTGCTGTTTTGCCACTTACTAGGAAAAAAAAATAATTTTAGTTCCATTTAGATGTTAGAAAATACCAAAGAAAAGTCATATCACTATCAGCATGAGCATCATTTGTTTATCAGTGATCATCTTAAAGCAGGGAGAGGTATTTTCTTCATAATTATGCTGAATTGTTCAATTACTACCATGCTTTTTTCATACCCTTATCTCCCTTGTCACAGTAAACAGTATTTAAGTACATAAATCCTTTTAAGAATGCACTGTCTAAAAAAGTTTCAGAAGAAAGCAGAAGTAATGGTGTCAAGCAGTCCTGAGAGATCTACTGACTGATAACTCATTGTGTAAATGTAGGCACATGATACTTTTTCCTGTTCTAACTGATAAGGGCCTCTAGGACTTCACAAATGTGATAACAACAGCATAACAGCAAAGATTCTTGAAGGCCCCAGAGAAACCTGGAGATATTTTTCCAGTGCAGAAGTAGTCTAGGGTTATGTCCATGAAAGGCAATATAGAACTGCATTCATGCATCACTGCTTCAGTGTTGTACTCAGATTAGAAGTCCTCCATGGTCTCTGCAGAACAGCAGATCATCGGGCTCCATGTTTTGGAGGAGAGAGGTGTCACAGAAAATAGACGAGTTTGCTTTTAGCCTGAGCAGTAAGCTTGACTTTAATGGAAAGTTAGTCTGAGTTAATGACTATAGCTCAGTGCCTAAAGGTATTCATGGATGAGATCAAAGACTCAGTTAATCTACTATCTCATCTGTGTTTATGGCAAATAAATGGGTAAAGAAATAACATAAAGAACAGGAAAGCAAAAGTGATGGTTTCCAGCTTGTCTTTAGTGCATTTGACTGATTTTGTAGAATCTAATTTAGTTGCAACTGGAAGAGCTTTTGTATCCCATTCCCAGATGGTGTTACTGTTCAAAAATGTCTCAAATTCCTTCTCATTCTTAAAGGAAGAAAAATTTTATAATGTCATAGTTAATTTGGAAATTATTTTGTCTCAGCAAGCTGCCAAGACAAAAAATATAAAACCTCAGGAAAAAGGTAGGCAATAGATGCCTGAAATGAAATATTTCTCTTCTTTCTTCTATTTTACAAGAAAAACTGAGACACTTAATCATTCTCTCAATTTTTATGTCATTTGTCTTTCAGGCCAAAGATTTCAAGGCTTGGTAATATTTCCTTATAGGGAAACCTTTCCATTCTTCTGATAACTTTCACCACCATTTCATTCAAATTTCTAGTCTTACTAGGCAATATTGCTATTGCAGGACAAGAGTATGACACAACATTTCATTTTTTAAAAGTTTTTCTTTCCATTTTATCCTTGAAGATCAGGAGGCTGAGAGACAAGTCTTGATTAGGCCAAATTCAAAAGCAGAAAAAGGACCAGAAGAATCCAGGTTTCCTCATTTTTGCAATCAAAGGAAACAGCTTTAGTTGTATTTAAACAGTATATCAATGATTATTCTAGATATGTGCAGCAATGCACTCAGATGACCAGTAACAAGTTGACTTTAACCCATTGGTAAGCACTTATCCTGGGTGAATGGATATTTTGGCTTCCAGTTTTGCCCTTCCCATGTTTTGGTACTATATTTGCAATGCACTATTGAGTTTCAGTAGAATTTTTTTAATCACCTTTTAAACAATATATAATTATTGTTGACAGCAAACCAACTAGAAGAAACACTTCTAGATTAATTAACAGTGACCTATAATTAAACTCTGCAGTACTTAGAGATGGAGTGGTCCCTAGATAATATTGCTTTAGTTTTAATGAGTGTTTATCATTCTTGTTTGCTTCCCCTGTGGCAGTTATCAAGGTTAGTTACAAAATTTCTTAATTAAATGGAACTACATAGAAGGTACAGTCTTAGCGGAAAACAGCTTGAAACATTCATTATTTAAGCATAATCTCAAAGTGTGCAAACTCCTGCCCTATAAATTTTTAATCATAATTTGCCTATAGAACTCAATCTTTTCCTTAAGTCATATCTTGACAGTAAAAACAGTGTCATATTTTAGGATTTTTCTTGTTCCTTTATCTCTGAAAAATAAGAATGTGTTATTAAATGTCTGCTTTCTCCAACATGTGAATGGCTCAGAAATACACTTTTATATGAAAGCTTTGATACAGGATTTCTGATTCCTGGCCCAGGCTTCACTAAGCAGTTTCTAGAGTAATTAAGTAAATCTCTTTATTGCACACTTTCAAAATGTGGTCTGACAAATTAGAATCCTAATGGAATTAAAGGATCACATTGCTACCAAATTCCATATGGAGTTTGGTACCCAGAGTTCTCTGAGGAAATAATCTCCCTTTCATCAATTCCATATTCTCAGATGACACCAGAAATGGCAGATTCCACCACCCTGAGAAAAATTCTCTTTCCTTCCAGTTGTTGCAGATTGAAAGCTGAAGTAACTAAAAATAACATATCGGGGGAGCTTCATCTTCCAAATATAAAGCTGTTGTAAACGTTTGCTAAAGATTACCTTCTATGATTTCACTATATACAATATAGTAAATATATACAATACGTAAAACATGTAAAGACAAATATTGGTACTGCTAAAGAATGATCCTTATATAATAATACATTTTTCTTCAGTAGCAGTTCTAATCATCTCCACTGTTGCTTTGCATTGTGCTGCTGGCAAGGTATTCTTAATTTGTTTTGTTGGATTAATAAAACAATGTGCATGAAAGTTTGTACACTAAAAAAACAAGAAAATCTTGTGTGGACCCAGTCCAGTCTGCACAATAGCTGGTCTGAGTAGTTAAAATCAGGCTATCTTGGAATGGGAGGGAGGTTATCATTGTTTAAATCCTAAGTAAAAATAGAATACTGATTGGGTTCAAACGAAGGTTGCTCTTAAAGTAACTTGTGCTTACAGATTCTTGATGCCAGAGATACTTCTCATGTTAAAGCCCTTTGAAAAAAAAAAAAAATTTAAGGGGGAGAGACCACTAGAAATGCCTACCTGGGAGCATTTTCAGGTGTAATGAAACAGTAAGAAAGGTATTGGAAAATGGTAAGTATGGAACACTTACACTTGCCAGTATGTAACTGGAATAAATATCTATGAAACTGGAGCAGAGCTGTTTGAACAGTGTATTCAGTTGCTGCCAATTCTTGGCCTAGTTAGAGCTGTGTGCTTGAAACAGCATTTCCCACCACTTTCTCTTTTCCTCCCACCATGCAGCACTTTCCCTGTCCCAGTCACAGTTTGGCATCAGATTGTTCCAGCCCTGAACACTGCTGCAAATTACTGCTGAGTCATCACTTCGCCCCTGTCACAGGACATCATCGTCACTGCTCCGACAGGAATATTGCAACGGCAACCCTGTGGTACAAAGGAGAGAGGATTGCAAGACATGGGCAGCGGAAGAGCTGAGCATTGAATGTTCTTTCAGGAAAAAGCTATCTTAAGGAAGTTCCCTGGGGTTTGTGGTCACTGGTTTGGAAACAGCACAATTATCTCTCCCCATGCTCGCATGCCATACCTCCAGAAAGCCCAAAAGAACAACACTCCAAGGCAATGGGAACTAGAAGAGACTTCCGTTGTTTATCATGGTGCTGTTGAAGTCTCCTGGGGTTGACAGATGCCGCTCCAGAAGGTTAATAAGATGAAGAAAGCTCTTCCAGCTGGACCGTAAGAGGGATTATGTCTGAGCAGCAGATAAACAGATTATTCCAGAAACAGACACTGCTTTTTTTTAAAACTTCGTCACTCTTGTCTTACCACTCCAGTTCCCCAGGCTAGAAGTGTGGGCGTTGGAGGGGTTCGCCCACCTCTTGCACTCTGGCACCTGTTGCACTCTGCCCAGTTGCAATTCAATGCAGTCCAAGGTTGGAGACACCTGAAAAAGAGAGACATTTGGGGATTTTAGTTCTCTAAGAAAACAGAACTCTTCTACTTTACCAAAATATTCTAGTTTCCTGCATGACTGGTCTTGAAAACTGTGAATGATCAATAGACAGCATGCATTTGAAAACTGGATTAATATTTTTGATCATTTGCCTTGCTCTCCAAGTTCAGGGAAGCAGAGGTAAGTTCATCTTAATCTATAAGGTTTAGATGAATTTTGCATTGCATATATTGAGAAACAAAATATTTGCAAGATCAAGGGCTTTCATTTTACAGATTGTTTAGTTAGAATGTGGTGTTTTGACAATTCTACTAGAGACACTGTGGTTACTTCTATAAAGCTGAAAAATAAAAAACTGGCATTATTTCTTATGTGTGTTTTGCAGGTTTTACAATATCTATAAGAGATGCAATTTAGCTTCATTTTACCTGAACATGTTCTGTTATGAAAAAACATATCTGTGAGACAAATATATGGAAATTTAAAAATGGCTGAAAGATCATCTAAGGGATGACATGATTAAAGATGGTCTTTCATCACTGAAATTAAGAGAAAGTAGCAAAGTATATATCTGCATTTACTAGGGAAGACAGTTATTCTGATTATTAAAAACAAATAGATTCTGGAAGAATACACCATACTGGCAAATATACAAAAATGGCAATACCACTAAGGATTAACGCAATAATAACTGCAAAATTATTTGCAAGAAAAGAGAAACACAGGGAACTGTTCTGTACTTAGTACATAAGCTGACTATTGCTCTATTTTAAAACATTTAGAAGTTCACAACATTTATAAAGCTACTTCAACAACAAAAAAGAAAATATGATGACGTAATTTTCTCTGGTTAGTCCCATATTCAAAAAATTTAGAGCTTTGGAGAATGCATTTAATTTTGGAGGAAGTTTCTCATTAAATTTTCTATCGATGCTTTGATATTTGCATAATTGAATTAAAAGCTAACATTACAACTGCTATGTGTGCTCAAGTCAATGACCTCCTATTTTTATGTCAGGCCTGCTAATTAAATGCAAAGAATGTAAAATTATAAAAGATAAGTCTCCTCAATGTTATCTAAATATTTGTTAGGGAGACAGTATGAAATATAGCCTACTGTCAATACTATCTGGAAAGTTTTATTTACACGTTTGCGTTTTTTAAAGAAGCTCCTGCTTTTCTTAAAGAAATACAGAAATACAGAAATACAGTTCTTGCATCTCAGTTAAATCATGCAAATCTTCTCTAGTGGACAAAGTACTGAAAAAATCATTGAGAAAATATATAACTAGCGCTAGAATTATGTTTTGTGGCTCTTTGATTTTTCTTTTAGATTTTATGCAAATAGTTTTATTTAATCACTAATGATATTTTGGAAATGTGGCAAAAAATGAGAGAATTATGATCTTTCACGTCTGACAGGAAAACAAGTCTTGTCAAAATGTGTTGTCTTTGCATTTAAGTTGCATATTCTGTGATGGAAAGAGAAAGAATGAATTCCAGGCAATTCATGCATGTTTGATGGCATTGTTGCAGCCCTTATTTATAATTACAACTTAGAAAGCAATAGTGGGAAAAGTAGCATCACATAGTTTCACCAAGCGCAAATTGTGATTGTATATTACAAAACACTCTCCATAAAAGACGAGAAAAATAATGGGGGACTATCTTGACAAAGAGGAATACTAAATAACTAGAAATATTCCTTGCCACCAGTTCAGTAAAGTGCATGTGGAATGCATAAATGTATAATATTTTTTTTTACATTTAGTTATGCCATACATAATATTTTTAAACTATTTGATCTCAAATATATGCACACAGATCTCAAAACACATAATGCTTGTGTTAAGAAACTTCTTTTTCAAAGAAGTTCCGGAGATACTTCCAGAGCTCTTATTTTATGACTTAGCATTAGGGTCAGATACTTACAGAAAATACTTTTAAAAAGTATATAGTCTCTCCCAGCAGTCTGAATATTTGCATGAATCACTCATTGGGGCTCCTAGGTGTTTTGAGATCTTTGCGGTCATTCAAATTTGCAGTACATGTAAACTGTGACAGACTAGGAAATAAGATACTAAGATATAAAACATCCCCATCTTAAACAAAAAAAAAAAAAAAAATAGAGATAATTTCTAAATATTTAAAGGGTTAGTTGATTTTTTTTCCTCATGAAAAACTAAAATTCAAATTCATTCTTTTCTCACATTTATATTTAACAAAAGGTAGGTTAACAAATATGGAGCTTGCTTAATAATATTTTTTGGTCCTTCCTCCCAGTCATTTGGAGGCTCTCCAGGAACACCTCCAATTTCACAGTAAACAAACAGGAAACCATAGAGAGCAAAATAATAGTACGGTGTTTAACTTTTGCCATAATTTTGCCACTGTCCTGACAAAAATTGTCTCTAGCACTGGAAAGGGAAAGTGAGAGGGATAAAACATTTGTGACAGCAAAAGATCTGTGCACACAATCTGAATAGTAAACTACTGAATGGCCAGATTAAATACCAAAATGCAGAGGAGCCCTGAACTCTCAAAACTATGCCTTGATGCTGGGTACATCTTAGCACAAAATAGTGAGAATGTAGAGGGGAAGAGTGTATTCAAGGCTATTTTGTGGCTTTTTTTATTCAGCAAGCAAATATCTGTTATTTACTCAGCCATTCCTCAGGACACAAAGGCTTTGTGTGTGCTCTATGAAATCATTTTAATTCATTCTGACTCACCCCTTCCCGCTAGGCTGTTCTAATTCCACAATAAATGTTTCAGATCTTCATTACTATAATTGCCCTCAAAAAAATAAGAAAAAAAAGTTTAAGCAAATTTGTTCCAAAGGAAAAGGAAAATCAAGGAATATAAAGCTTCAAACAAAGAAAGAAAACAATATATATTTGCTTTTTTGCACTAGGATTATCTTCTACTCTCATCCATAAAATAAGAATTACCATGTTAAAGTTGGCTTTCCCGGCTGGGTTTATAAACTTATGAAAAGAAAGATTTTTCCTTTTTTCTCTCCTTTCTCAAACAAATGTAACACTGCACTCTATATGCGATTTGATCTTTTCTGTTTTCTGGCTAAAAGCCAAACTTTAATATAAATACTAGACCATTGTCACTGAATCCTAAAGATTAATTCCAGGAATAGTCACACCTGTGCCATAGGGATTAGTGAATTGCATGTGAATGAACAGCAAGATATATGGGATTTTTCTTAGAAAACATCTGTGGACAAGATGGTCAATATTAATGATCCAAGGTTTTCTCCTTCTACAGGACATCAGCTGACAGGCTACAATTAAATAACTGGGAGTCTTAAACAACTAGAAATTCAGATTGTCCATGTTCATTTCTCAGCTAATTTTGGAGTCTTTGGGGTTTAAGCAGTGCACTAAGTGACATGGGCAACACCCATCACAAAATAAACATGATTTTCTTACCAGAATACAGTTTTTCTTCGCCAGAGGAAAATTCTGTATGCATTCTGTTGTATTTTAATGCTTGGAAATATTTTTAAATATGTTCTCATTCTTTTTTTACCTCTGTCCAGCCTTGTTCCTTTTGGGATTAAAATTAGTCTTCTGATCATTCTCTGTCACATAATTCTTCCATGTTAATCAGGAATTAGGCGCACTATTGTACACTCCATGAGATTTGTACTTTGTAAGCCCAACTGTGTTTCAATTTTTTCCCCTTCAGAATGTGTGATACTGAACAACACACTTCTTAAAAAGAAAGCCATCTATGTGCATTCCTATACATGTCTGTTGGCATTTAGTCACTGTCAGCTGCTACTTACCTGACAGAGGCTTCAGAACAGTAACCTGCCTGAAAAACATAAGGTTAACAACCATCTGGAAGTACCCTGACACCTTCCACAGAGTAGGTGTGTTTATATACCCTTACATAAATGTAGTATGCCTTATCATTGTATGCAAGCATCATTTTCCCCCTCACTTGTTCTGACAGAGTAACACTGTTATCCTCATTTCACAAAAGCATGAGGGCCTGAGATGTGACACACAAACTGAAGTCCTGGCTGGTAAGAGGCATTGCAGTCATAAAGCAGGACAGCAGCAAGGGTTGCTGGGCTAATTCTGGTTACACAGACCTCTGCAAATCAGTAGAACCCAGGCTCACCGCTACATAATTAATTGTACTTAGGCCACCATGTTGTCTTTCCATTGGTGAGGTTCTACTGGCTTCTAAAGTTTGCTTTAGTGCAGAGCCAAAATTACCTTCTTCCTGGCCACTCAAATGTTTCAATACCTTCCTCAGACTTTACCCAACTTTATATTGACAATCTTGGTGCTCCTGTTACCTGAAATACTGGTTTTAATGGCTGTGTTGCAGATATACCTTTCATACATATGACTCATCACAGATCATAGAAACCCAGAAGTTTCAGGCAGGAAACAGCAATGCACTCCTCTAATTTTGTGATTTCATGGTGATGGCACAAAATGAAGACATTTCTATTCAAGTTCTTGTCCCTTTCCCCTTATCCATCAAAACTAGATGAATAAGTCATCTTACTTAGATCGAGAATTGGATTAGGTGTCCTCCAAACCAAACTTGGTCTATGCAGTTTGATACTAAGTTGAGTAAGGTTAAGTGCAAGTCATGCTCTGTCAAAATGATGTGGAGATTGTAGATTGTACTGCAGAATGAGTGACCCCAAACTGTGAGGAAAATTGACCAATTTTAATTACACAAGCTGAAGTAAAGAGATGACGCTGGGGCTTCTGGCACCTTTTCATACACCAGACATCCTAATTGTTATCATATGTGAATAGGATAATACATTTATTGAGTTACCTCAGTAAACTCATTCTGCACTGCAACTCTTTGACTCCTACCATCAAAGTTGTTGAAATGTCAACATATGTGGCAAAGCATCACTGGAACTTAAACTTATGCTGTCTCATTGACTTTCTCAGAGAAGTCTGTACCTCTTGAGAATGACTAATCAGAAAATTAAGAGCAGAGGTGCTCGATTGAGTGTTTTATCTCTGCCAATTGGATGCATCCCTCCAAGAACTACTTAAACATTTAAAGCATTTTCTTGCATCCTTTGATATCATATCCATATCAATTAATAGAACCTCCTTTCAGGTCAAATGCTTCTAAGATGGCCAAAGAAATCTAAATAGATACATGTTTCATACATGAGCATT